CCCCCCCCCCCCCCCCCCCCCCCGAGAAGAATAAAGTTGAATGGCTTGAATGAGCGGAGATACATTGTAAATTATATATAAGTAATTTGTAATTTACGTGCTTACAGACGTCATCACCTTTGTTTATGAAGTACCATTCATATTTTGGCATTATATTAATGTTGACGGAGTAAGTTGAATCACTCTCAAAAAAATTATTACAAAGTGCGATGGAATTATTACAAATTGCGACAGGTTAGTTTATTAAAAAATGCAATGGACAGTTATTACAAATTGCGACAGCTTTCTTATTACAAAGTGCAACACGGTTTATTACAAATTGCGACAGGTATTACAAAGTACGATGGATTTATTACAAATTTCGACAGGTATTACAAAGTGCGATGATTATTATATGTATTCTTAGTTTATTACGAAGTGCGATGGACAGTTATTACAAATTGCGACAGCTTTTTTATTACAAAGCGCGACACGGTTTATTACAAATTGCGACAGGTATTACAAAGTGCGATGATTATTACAAATTGCGACAGTACATGGTTATGCACAACTTTGGGGGATTAACAAGATGCATTATGGTCTATGTGAAAATGGTCCTGTAAAGGATAGCAGAAGATTCGTCAGTAATCTGGCAGAGATCACATTATCACATATGCGATCTTCCCGGTCTGTATAAAAGTCTCTGAACAATCAAATAGCCAGAAGTGAAAAATTGTTTGGGAGGGATTGGTCACTTCTGTGTGAAAAATATTTTCCGTATTTCTACCCAAACTTTAGCTTACGATAATAGAACAGAGGACCGCAGGGTTCGTTCCCGGTTGGTTGAAACTCGATATTTTCAATCCAAGGAGCAGCTAGCCTCCCACGAGCGTCGAAGTCCCAAGGGGATCTGCGGAGCAGCTCGTTATCATCCATCCCAAACAATATCTGCCAGGATCTCGTCAACTGCCAAATTGTTTGCCGAAGATAGCGAAAAACATGGGCTGCTAACCGGTAAGACGAGAATTTCTCTTTGCGAACTTTCGCCTATGAAAATCCTGTCCCCGGTCCTGTTAATGGAGAAGACACAGTCTAGCGCAAAACGCGAGAGACGTGCGTGGAGCGCGGGACGAGGGGGCGAGAGGAAACATTGAAATGACTAATTTCATGCCGCTCGGAAGCCTTGCACTACCGGATTTTCCCGGACTTTTTGAATTCCGGATAGAAAATGGCTTCCAAAATAGAAGGTAAAGGAAAGGTCATTGCGTATAGTTGAAACGATATTAAGGGCCTGATTACCCCAGAAAGTTGCTATTCTAAAGGTAAGAACAGTTGTTTTACTGCGATAAAGAACCTCGATTAAAAAATTTCGAGAAAAGAAAGGTCTAATCGGAGACTTTGGCTACTTGGAAGTATTGGAACGATTTCAGAATTGTTCGACAAAAAATTTGAACAAAGAACCGTCGAGTTTAGCTCATTTTACGGCGATGGATCCAACTGAATATTGGGGAATGATAAGAGAGTGGGTGTACCTGTTTTTACGAACCGTAAAGTAAAAACTACCAAAAAGCGAAAGACGCCAGAGTGATCCTAAGTGAAAGGGCAACATTGTATATTAGGTTGGCAAGGCTTACATTAGATTTTCTCCCCGTCGCTGCGTACGGTGTCAGTAGAAATCCTAAAGATCAGACCGGAAACAATTCTCACTGAACATGGATAAAAGGAAGTATACTTCAGTATTACTTGAGAGGCATTTCTCGTCCGTTAACACTGCAGTTCCTGTAATTTGGGCAATCAGCTTGTAATCACAATTAACCTGAGATCAGGCCCAATTTGAGCGGTTCTCATACATTCTCTCTAACGGCTACCGCTAAAAGTTCTTTTCGTTTCGCCATGTTATTTACAAAGCGGAACGAAAATAGAGCCTGATCTCAGGTTAAATCACAAACAAGAATGTCAC